GAAGAAGAAGAAGAAGAAGAAGAAGAAGAAGAAGAAGAAGAAGAAGAAGAAGAGGAAGAAGAAGAAGAAGAAGAAGAAAAAGCAGCGCGTTTCCCCTGTTCCTAAAACTGTGTGCTTCTTTACCTAGACATAATAATAATATAGAGTTAGTTGACTAAACCTTCTTATGACTTCGCTTGTGACTTTCAAGCGCTATTTTTTTAGAAAAAAAATTCTACAAACAAAGCGCTTGTGAATAGATAGAATGTTATACAATACAATAATTCACTTACTCATAACTGTTAAAGAACGCAGTCATCTGCCCGACCATTCCGATGACGAACATGGGCAGGATGCAAGCCTTGGACGGACTGACGAACCCGCAGTTGACCAGGACGCCCACTACGATCCTGCACGGGATGTCCAGCGTGTTCATCAGAGAGATGAGCATGGCGCTTTGTGAGGGAGTCAGACCTTTCTCTTTAGCCAGGGCTGGGATGTACATCTGGGGCACGGCTTGGCCAATCGTAGCGCTGAAGTAGAACACGACCAGAACCCAAAACGAGGTCGACTTTAAAAGGGGGTTGTTCAACAGACTGAAGCAAAACTTTCGGAAAAATGTCTGAGGTTTGGCCGTGTCGTCCAGCTGTGTTTGCTTGAAGTACGTGTCCTGCTCAATGGATATCAGATCGGCAAAGTTTGTGTTGAGCGTGGAAGTGCTGCAGAATATAGAAGCGGTGGAGCGAGAGAGCTGGCGTTTGGAATGAGAGTATTTGCTTCCAATATCCGTGTAAGCCATCGACTCCACGTCGTAGAGAGACGGGGTGTTCTCCGTGGCGAGGCTGTCGTTCCACCGACGGGGAAAGGTCACTGCTGGGGCCGCCAGGTGGTTGTTGCTGTAGGAACTCTCGGTCACCGGGGAAACGACAACACTGCCATTTTGGTTGACTATGGAAACTAGACTCCCATTTTGGTTGTTGATCTCAGTGAGTTTGGCGTGGAAGTCGTTATTACTGGCAACCAGAGATTCTTGTGAGCCATTCACTAAAGACACGGAGGAGGAAGTGATCCCATTGCCTACAGGAACAACTACCAAGTCACCGTGACTGCCAACAATTATGTTTTGCTCGATTTTCAGAGGTACGCCCTCCTCGCAGATTTCTAGCTTGGAGCTGAAAGGCGCGATATTCGTAATTTTCTTCGGGTCAAACTTCAGATGTCCGTTTCTTTGGTTAATGCTGTTATGACTCCCACGGAAGCTTCGACTACATTCCGACTTTTTATCCAGTTCCGAACTTTCTCCCTCCAAACCACGGAACCTCTGTCTCAGCTTCTCGAACGTTCCCAGCTCTTTCCTCACGCCGCTTCGGACGTTCTGCGGCGACTTCTTACTCTCGGGAATCTTCAGCACCATCTCGTTCTTCTCTATGGGTCTGAGCATGGCAGAGAAAGCGATACTGTGCATGAGGACTCCAGCTGTCATCAGAGTGCCGCCCCGTAGAGAGTACTCATCCAGCAGGTACCTGATGAGGAGCGGGAGGACCACACCCCCAAAGCTTGTGCCGCACGTGCCCAGGGCTGTGGCAAAAGCGCGACGCCGCTCGAAATATTGCATCAGCACGAACAGGGAGGGCCCGTACAGCAGGGCGATGGACAGACCTGTATAGGGGACGATGAATGATGTTGAATAGATGATAATGAATAAATAGCACTTGTTGTATAGTAAGCCGCTCGAAGTACTGAATCAAAATTAACATGGAAGATTCGAACAGAAGGGCGATCGATAGACCTGCGAGGTGGATGGTGAACCAATGATGACAAATACATTTTAACAAATAAATAGCATTTGTATAGTGCATAGTCCCACTCAACAGCAAGCTCTATGCGCTTATCAGTGATTATTGCCCCAACAGACCATAGAACACTCAGATATATTCTCAGCTTCCCGGTAGAAACGAGAGACATATATCGAAACGATAACAAGTATCTATAGTGGAGGGAGAAAATGTTTTCCTATCATCACACCCAATCGTGGCATGTCTGCTGCATGATACACAGTCGAACCTGCCTTAAAACCCACCTGTTTAAGACAACTACAAAGTTTTGTAAAAACGACCTCTCCCCACCCCCACCCTTTGAGACACTGTCCAAAAAGACCATCTGTCACTTTTCTCCTGGAACTGGTGGTTGTCATGGACTGGTTGGAATGTATATCACATAACAAAGGGTGGGAAACATTAGAATTAGTACAGACTCCAATACAGTTTCCTAAGGGAAACAAAAGACGTTTGTTTGCATAGACAAAAGCACAGCGACACGATAACGGCCATTCAACGAGGGGAAATAGTAAGACATAAAGACAGCAAAATACAGGGATAGAAAGAAAAAAATTATATTTTTTTAATGAGACGTCGAGAAAAGTACTGTAGGCTCTGTAGCAGTTCGTTTGTCTTTGTGAACAGAACAGGAAGCTGTCAGTTTGTCCCAAGCGTCGTAAAAGACGTCTCAAATAATAAAGACTTGTAAAATATACAGTTGCCCTGAAACACCCCGCACAGCAACGCATTCAGAAAGAAACGATTTGTTTTGCATCTTTTGGTTACATTATGATTCCCTGAAGTCCAATTCCTCTTTCTGCCTTTTCCCGAGGACATTAAATGCGTCTCGCTCTTCTGTGAACGATAAATTCCTCTCGCTCTTCTGAAAAAATAAATCCTAATCGCTCTTCTCATAAAATTCTTCTCGCTCCCTCAATAACATTCTTCTTGCTCGCTCGAGAACATTAAATTCGTATTGCTCTTCTAGGGACATAAATGTTTGCTATCCTATGAACATTGATTGAATTCTTCTCGCGCTTCTGAGAAACACTTAATTCTTCTCCGCCCTCAAGAAGCCCTACAGTTTGGGTTAAGCGCACTCTACTGGCGAAAATAACAATTCTCTCTCTCTCTCTCTCTCTCTCTCTCTCTCTCTCTCTC